GTTCCTGCCTTCTGGGAGTTTGAATGCTGAAGATAGAGAGAACGAGGGGTGAAGGGTCAAGTGTCATGCAATTAAGGATGGGGAAAGTATGGAAGGAGACAGCAAAGTGTTATTTGAAGCCAGCAGAGTCAGGAAGACTTCTCTGAGGAGGTGACACTGAAATGGAAATTAGGACAATGATAGGAGTTAATCAGGCAAAAGTGTGTGACAGGAGTATCCTAGGCAGAAGAAAAATTGTCTGCAAGCACCTGGTGGCTAGGCAGAGCATGAAAGATTGGAGGAACTGGAAAGAGTGCAGTGTGATTTGAGCACAAAGCACAAGGAGGTGGGGCTGGCACAAAACTAGAGAGACATTCAGGATATAGGGAGAGAGCTGGTGGAGAGAGCTTAGAGTTTTGGAAGGCTATGTTTGTAGTGACTGGAGCATGGGATGTGGAGTTAGACAAACTGCGTCTTAAATCCCAACTCTACCATCCATTGGCTGTGTGACACTGGCCATGGTACTCAATGTCTCAGACTCTCAACGTCCTTATCTGAAGAATGGAGATAATGATGCCTATTTCACTGGGTTGCTTTGAAGATTAAATAAGTGAGTGCAGGAAAAGTATGTAACACTTAAGAGCTTGATAAATGGTCATTATCACTATCAAGAACAATGGGGAGATACTATTGCTGTCTGAAGATGGGATTTATAAGGAGTAAGAGTGGAGGCAATGCTGTGAGTTAGGAGGTATTCAGAGTAGTGCCAGTGGGTGGTGGCTGGAACTAGGAAACTGGAGGAATTGAATGTTAATTGAGTAGGAAGTGAGAAGAAGGATCTTCAGAGACTGGGATAGTCCTTGAGATTTGGAATGTAGGAATAGTGTTAAGTTCAGGATGAGTATGGTGGGGTTGGTTTGTAAATATTGGTGAGGTCAGTTTGTACATGTTATTATTATATTCATGAGGAATCAGTTGCAGAGAACAGACTTCACTTTAGCTTGTTTGGCAGGAAGGGGTTTATCACAGGGTATTAAATGGCTTGTAGAATTGCCAGGAGGGCCGAGGAAACAGAACTGAGATTGAGCTTTCAGGAGCAACCTATAATGCGACTCCCAGGAACTGGGCTGCTATAGTAGCTGCTGTCTCTCCAATAATCTTGCAATCAGGAAGCTTGCCCCTCTAGAACCACAGAACTGTTACCGTGAACAGGAAACCACTACAATCAGGAAGATGCTACTGCTGCTGGGCTCCAGAACCAGCGTACATCTGGAACAGACTCTATCAGCAGAATGGATGCTTTTCCCCAACCACCCAGGCTCACCTCAACTACTAAGCTAGTATCTGAACATTAAAACCTCTGCAAATGAAGATGCAGAAAAAACAAAAACCTGTGCTTGCTGGATGGATGGACAAACATTCCAAAATTCTGTCCATATCAGGCTAAATAATACTAGAACCCAAGCTGCAAGGGAATAAGGAAAGTATATTTTTAGCATTCCAACATGTGGAGCAGGAGAAGGCACACTGGAACCATGTTTCGGAAACTGTGGGTTGTGACTTATGAGAGCATCATAAAAATCAATTCAAGTGATCACAGTAAGTTTTTTGTTTGTTTGTTTGTTTGTTTTTTTCTTAGTCCTCGTTGGCAACATGATATTTCTTCTTCTGGGTCATGGTAGGAAAAAAACAAACAAACAAACAAAAAAACACCTGAAAAGTCATTATACTAGACATTGAGTAGAGATCTTCCATTATAGAGTTTCAGGAGAGAACTTCGAGAAAAGCCCATGAGGAATATGAACATATCATCTTGGGGTAGAAATCTTCTGAGGCTGTGCTTGTCCTTCATACTTTCTGGTGTTTGTTTACTTTCCAGGAAGAGAGCTAGATCCAGGGAATCCCCAGAGTGCATTAAAAGGCAGGTTTCAAATCCATGCTAACGAGGGCTGATTCTGCAGTGGCTTGGGAGAGGTATTGCACACACCATGTTGGATTGTAAACTGACCTGGCACTCACTGGCACTTGGGATATGTGTGTTGAATGAATATACAGAGCAGAGAAGTACTTAGAAAGTATGGAAGGAGCCATTCAGATTCCAGAGACTAAGCTCCAGGTCATAAGCTCTGATCACAGAGCCATCTGAACCCTTGGTAGCCATGATTAACAAAGTATCTTTGTGACACCATTTATGATTTTCCAAGAGTGTTTTTGCTGTGTAGAAAAATGGCAACTAGGGGTGGGAGCTGTGCAAGAAGATGTCCTTATATTGTAGCTTTGTGTGTAATAGAAAAAAACCTAAAAGCAAATTAAATGTTCTTGCATAAGAGAATGGACAAACTGTAGTATATTCAGACAATTAAATATATAGTAGTTACTCTACTGTAACTCTACTATCTAATTCCTTCCCAAAATCCCCCAGTCACATAAGGATGGCTGGGAGAATAGCTCTGTGGCCTAAGAGGTTTTGATGTGGACAAACACTAAAGGGAAGAAGTGCTGAGGGAAGCTGGCAGAATCTACCAAACAAAGGAGCCTCCCGGAATCCCAGGAATACCACTTATTCTGGGATAGAACGGACAAACTCCTTCAATTAAGAGGATGGAGAAGTCAGCCAGTATCATCTCCGGAACACTCCTGAGAGCTCTGCCAGGCTTGATGGAAGTCCCATTGGTTGGAAGCCCAGCAGGGAGCAGATACTTGGAAAGTCCTCAAGTGTGGTTAGTGAGAGAGCTGGAGATTCAACCCAGTTTCCTACTCCAATCTCCATTATTTCCCACCAGCCTTGATAGGGCCTCCTGTACCTTTCTGCAATTTCTCAGGTCATGTCTTTCCAGCCTTATGTTGGACAGTCTTTCACATTCAGAGGTTTCCTCTGCTCTTCCCTGCCCTCACCCCTGTCACTCCAAGACGGTGATTTGAACATAAGGCACAGGTGGTCTCTATCCTCTACAGACTCAACACATAGTCAACATGTGATTCTGAAAAGGGTTAGGAGCCAGGTGTGGTGGCTCATGGCCATAATTCCAGCACTTTGAAAGGCTAAGGTGGGCAGATTGCTTGAGGCCAGGAGTTTGAGACCAGCCTGGCCAACATGGTGAAACCCTGTCTTTAGTAAAAATACAAAAATCAGCCAGGTGTGGTGGTGCCTACCTGTTGTCCCAGCTACTCAGGAGGCTGAGGTAGGAGGATCACTTGAACCCAGGAAGGGGAGGCTGCAGTGAGCCAAGATCACACTACTGCACTTCAGTCAGGGCAACTCTACCTTGACTTGTTATTTTTCATCGACTCACTCATCATCTTCCTCTAAAAGTTGTGCAAATACACTGAGTGTGTGTGTGTGTGTGTGTGGTGGCAAGGCAGGGTTCAGAGGGTAGAAGGAAGGGAAGGAGCTCAAGTTGGGTTTTTACCAAAGAGGCATATGTTTTAGGTAGTCTGGGTTCCCAGTTAGATAAATTATTTATTTTACTTGCATAGATATCATTTTACTAGCATAGTATCATTCATTCATAACATTTCCGGGGGCTGGTTAACCCTCAAGAGTAAGAGAATTTAGTTTTAAACTTCCTGGGTTGCCCACTCCCTATGCATCTATCAGTTGAGTTATTAATGATTATTCTCTTTCATTTTCTTGATTTGGTTACATTATTCATTTAAATGATGTACCTCTTGCGTCTGTAGGCGTTGGCTTTCTGAACATTGCTTGACAGACACTGAAATTAGGAACCACTCACAGTGCAAAAGTCAGGTACCTCTGCTCAGAGGACAGTTGGTGAAAAATGAAAATGGAATCTTTCTTGAGTTAGAATGTGAGATGGCAGAAAATTTGGTTAGTTAACCCACAGTGGGTTGCATATACCTTTTCAAGAATACATGAGTTGGTCTAAGCAAGATTCATTTGTCCTATGCAGTTAATGTGTAACTCAAATGCCAGGTGTTTTCCCTTTTTTTTTTTTTTTTTTTTTTTAGCTTTGAGTCTCAAAGTCTGTTTTTACCACAGACCACTTGGCTTGCTGAATTCAACACCTTTTCCAATTCCTGCTTCTCCCAAAGAATCTACTCACAGAAAGAGTTAAAGAGAAATGTAGACTTTACTGAATATGTCATAGAGGAGACTTAGGAGAAGGTTGACATAGCATATGGCTCAGCAGATGACTTAAAATTTTCCCTTAGCCATTTTTGTTCTCTCAGGTCCCTCTCATCCATACCACCACTGCTGATTTTTTCTTTCTTTTTTTCTTTTAAATATTTTCTAGCTTTTTTTCTGACAAACTTTGCTGGATTCCTATTCCTTTTCTCTCCTTCTTGAGAAAAATGCAAATTTTGCTCCATATTTTGGTCTAGCAGGGAAGCTTCCATCTTTTCTTACTGAAGCACAACCTCGGGGCCTACATTGCATCTCAAATGGCTTGTCAAGGTGCTCCTCCAAAGATGACGGACAGATGCCAAGTTGGACATAGCTAGAGAAATCTCACGTGGCTCTTCCAAGCAGGAGAGGAGTTTGCTGTTTCTCGGAAGTCCTCCCCACTTTCAGGGTCATTATTGTCTGTCAACAACTTTGTGGAAATTTAAAAACTCTCCACGGAACTGGTTTTCTGAGAGGTGTTTGAAGCAGGAATATATTATGCAGGAGATGCAGCAGCCATTCCCTGGCTAGATGACCACATCACTACGACACACTGATTGTTTGCTAAAGGCACAATACCTTCCTGACAGGAAATGAAAAATGCCTGCTGGTCAATTATTGTCAGTCTAATTGGGATAGAGTCAGGCCTCATCAGATGGCTTCCCAAACACCCAGACAGTCTCTTAGATTCTGGATGGTCAGTCTCTTAGATTCAGGTGGTCAACAGTAAGTTTTTTTTTTTTTTTTTCTTAGTCCTCATTGGCAACATGGCGTTTCTTCTTCTGGGTCATGGTAGAAAAGAAAAAACCCTGAAATAGTCCTTTCCATTACATCCTTTAGATCTTGCAGTTCATACCATTAAAGGCACCCTGAAGCTTGTCCCCTATATTCTGGCTCTGCTGAGATGAGGTCAGATCAATACTAGTGTCTTCAATGGTATACTGTGGTAGGGGGGCCTTATTTTGGTTGGAGAGCTTCCAAAATTGTATCTGGAATCTCAGTTCAAAGGGTCTGGTCTTCTGAGATGGAAGAGGTTTGGAAGCAATTCAAACCCAGTCCTTTCATTTGCTAGACTTCGATCCTGAGTTCCAGGGAGGGGAAGGTATGGTGAATTCTTATACTTTTATGTTGCTTTGGCATCCATTTTGCATACAAGTTTAATGTTCTCATACCAGAAGCCAGGCTTAGTCACCCTTGGTAGGGTTTTCCAGTTCCATGCCGCACCTCTTGCCAGAGACAAGAACTGAGAGTCATCGCTCTTTTGTCTAGCAGACTGGATTTCCCACTTTTCTGTTGCGTCCTTTAAACAGGCCACTCAGGCATTTGCCAGTGAATTGAGAGTGATCGCACCCTATTTATTTACCTAGGTTGCTAATTGGTTTGCTCTCAATGTCTGACTCCTCACTCCTGCCTCATGTAACCCAGAGAAGGATGACTGCCCTTCAGACTCATTATGCCCTCTCTGACCAGGATCTGTAATAAAAATCTTTGAATTTGTTTTCCATTGTGGTGGTGTATTAAATTTGTGCTTCCCATCTCAAGAACGAGGGGCTGCCTCAGGCATGGTTTTTCCCTGGAGGTTCCTAAGGGCGGGGTTGTGTGGAACACAAGGTCAGGCTCCTAGTGCCAGAGTGATGGCCAGGCAGGAATAAACTGGGCACGGTTCAGACACAAGTCACAAGGGTATCCGCCAGCATAGAGAAGTTTCATGTGTGAGAGAGTCCTTGATCACAAGTTGGACAATTAAGCATTAGGCCATCTGCAGATAAAGGAAGTATTCCGTGAAGGGTACACTGTAAACACTCATGCCCAGCTCCCCTTCATTTCCCATTAGGGCACGGTTGCCAGCTGCTCTGGCACTGGAGCCCCATTTTATCTGGAGGCTCTCAAAACAGAAGAAATAGATCAAGACCATACAGTGAATTGGTGGTTGGGCTGGGACATCCATTCAACCATTCTGATTCCCATGTGGATCTCTGCCTACCACACTGCATTGCTTCCCTGACTGCTAACTGAAAGATACTTCACTCAAAACTCTCTTTTTAACCCAGGAGCTGTCTCTTCCCAAGAGACAGAAGAAGTATACTATTTAATACGCTGTGTAGTTTGTCTTGGTCTAAAGTTTTCTTTTTGCCCAAGTGTTTGGATGGATGAAATACTGTATGGTAGAGAGGCACTTTCTTCCTGAAGGCCAAGAGAAACTGTTCAGTCTGAACTACTGTATAAGAAGATGGACAAGACATTCTCAAGAGGAAAGGTGCTTGTGTCTATGTACTGGAATGTATCCACATTGACTGATATGGTGGTATTGACCAGCAGGTAATCCAGCAAGAATTGAGAGAGATTCTGGTATACATTTTTGGTTTGGATTCCAGACTCACACACTGTCATCAGGGCCTGTTTTTTGATCTGCTTGTTGATGAGAAGCTCCACCTTCAGGTCAACAGAATTATTTGGGCATTGTACAATAAACTGCATTTGGCAAATGATGACGTACCAACCAGGGATCTGGACCACCAGATTCCCATCCTGATATCTGACTCCATGGACAACGCCATCTTTGTTCCAAGACAACTTGGTTTGGTTTAGATGCTTTGCGACTAGAAAAGTATAAAAAACAGAATTATTGAGAAGGTTGTAGGTACACATTGGAAAACTCTTAAGTCTTTATTCAAAGTTCCCCATTCGAGACCCATGTTTTCTGTAACATTTCAATCATCTGAATATCCTCCATGTCACTCCCTCTAGAGTCTACTTATTATTCAAGGCACAGGTATAAAACCATCCTTCTTCCTTTTCTCCAATGCTCAAAGCTGGAGGGTCAGAACACACATGGTACTTTACTTCTATCTCTTATAGGATGGCTTCCCATTGAATCATTATCATATTATATTATTCTATGATGATGGTGGTGATCTTTCCCTTTCAGATTATAAGCTCCTGGACTGTTCTCTACAAGGTCAGAACTATCATGTTCATTTATCATGAATGGGCATTGCAGAGGGTATCAGGGATAGGAAATTCAATAATATTGAGTTTTATAGGCATTGCAGAAAGTACAAGGTAAGACATTTAATAATATTATTCAGTTAATAACCAATTTAGGTGTGATGATGTCCAGGAGAATTGCAATTAATTTTCACATTAAGATGTATCCTCTAACTGTTCATTGTCTGAGTTTTTGAATGTCTCCTTTCAATGGGCAGCCAAACATAATTGCATAGGTCCCTCATGTGCCTATTACGGGGCTTTTGCCATCTGGGATTTATTGAAAAGCAGAGAATTAGCAGGCCCTCTAAGCTGACAGGTTTGTTCTGGAAGGTGAGTCTCTGAGTCCTAACATGTGAAAATCAGCACTGACTGGTAGGGGTGACTTTCAGAGCTGGGAAGTTGGCATGGGTTTGAATTGCTTCCATGTTTTCCCTATAAACCTTGTTGCAATTCAGCTGAAGAGTGAGAACTAATCTAACTGCAAAATTGAATTTTTAAAATGAGCAAGATGGCCATTTAGAGAATCCTGGCCATCTCTGCAGCTCATTCTTCTGCAGTCTGAAGTGCCCCTTAGTGCTTCATTTGTAAGGACCTCTTACCTGAAGCACACTGCAATATGCAAATTGGGCCTTTGCTGACATGTTCATTAAGCTGTCAATCTGGGGACAAGTCAATTTTGTGGATCCCTTGTAAATAACTTCACAGAGGCAAAGATTAAGCGCCTGCCTCCCTTGCATTAGGAAAATGACTGTATACTTTGCTGAAACTGGTAGGTAGCTGAATAAGGAGAGATGAGGGGTGGGACTGGTGGTGGCAGTGGCGGTGGGGACCGTGAATACCCATAGAGGCCAGGTAGGAGACATAAAAGCGTGAATGGGGCTGAGGAAAGAGAAGCCTTGTAGCTTTGGAGAAAAACACTCTCCCCACTATGGCATTCAAATTCAAATTATATATATATATATATCCTGCTTACTAAACAGTACACATCTGCAGGTCACATTTGGCCCTGGAACTCTAACTGTGACACCTGGCTTAGCAGTTGTCGAAAAGCCACAGAGGTAGTTTTCATATGTTTAGGTTTCCTGGGTTTGGTTACTGACCTTGGAGGTAGGCCCATGACTTCTTGAATGGAGCCCTTTTCAGGATACATAAGAGGTCTTCTGAGCAATTTCCTAAAAACAAGGAGACAGTGCATTAAAACATTATTTGCTGTTCTGGGATCTGGAGATATCAGATCTTTTTCTATGACCCTTTGATGGGGATAATTACCATTCTGCTTCCATTTTGAGAATCAAGATAAAACCTCTTTAGTTCTCATTTTGGCATCGGGTGTTTTAGGATTTTAATTTTTTTAATTTATTTTTATTGATTGCTTCCACTTGGGTTTTAATGGAAGACTGGAAGTCAGGGAAGAAAACAAATATGACGTGCATTCCTATAATGTGTCAGATGACATTTTTGCCACTATACCTATTTCATCTCCTTAATCTTTGCAGCAACTCTATGAGAGAGGTATTATTAAGTCCCTTTCACAAGTGGGAAAAATTCTTAGGGACCAGGCAGATGAAATACATTGTTTCATGTTGCCTTGCCAGGCAGTGGTAATGAGAATGATAATACTGATAGTAAATACTGCCATCTCACCTACCACACACCAGAAACTAGTCTGGGTACTTTTACAGTTGGGTAATATATCAGCTAATCTAGTTCTCAGACTAATCCTGCAGGGTTAACTTTGATGCCTAGAGATGGTCAATATCATCACTTAAGGTCAGGCAAGTTTGCATAAATGCTGGAATTGCCCGTGACTAATTCCAGAGGCCAGGATCCTTGTTCTAGGCTATTTTGCTAGACAACGAAAGAAAGAAACATCTTTGTGTTCAATTTTAAGAGGACACAGGATTAAATAAATCTTAGCAGAAGTCCTACTATCTGGAGCTTCCTTGGCAGAGGCAACATAACATTATGTCATTATTGTATTTAAGAAACTAAAATATTTTTCATATATTCACTAGTGATAGTGGCTTAGCTTTTTCTTATTATAGTAACTACTTAATATTCCGTATGCAAGGATTCAAGTTATACCTTTCCTGCAATGACTCATGAATTCAGCTTATTCAGAGCAAAATCTCTTCTTTGATCCTTGGATTCCCCAGGTGTAAAACTGGGCAATCTTTGACCTGACATGGACATCTTTTCAAAGATGTTACCAGAGATGACCATTCAGTCTATCCATCAGAGCCTAGGCAACCAAAGGCCCATTCAATGAAGCGGCCACACCCTGGGATGTTTGCTCACTGCATTTCCGAGTAGTGCCCATTGCGCTCACAACCTTTCCCATTGCAATCTCTGCCCAGCCCTGATAAAGTCCCTCCTGGTCAACCTCATAGCTTCATGGGGGCTTTGGAGTGGTTAAAAGTTAAATGAAGAGTTCCCTCTGCTGTCTGAACAAGCTCACTGCGAGAGGCACCCCGAGTAGACGCAGGGGGCAGTTTTCCTCCTTATCTGCTGCATCCACATAGAGCTTCTGGTCCGAAGCTATCTTGGTGGGGAGGGTCAGTGGGTCAGCTGTCATTCTCTTGGTTTCATCCTCATGCATCCTCTGACCGGTGCTCTGGTCCTTCCTGTTTCATCCCATGGCCCACACTCTCGGGGTGTGTAGTCAGAACCCTAACACTGATGGCTGCTTTTGCTCCCAATGGACTGTGACTATGGCTAGAGAGGCCAGTTCTCTGGCCTAACTTCTGACTCTAAGCTGTAGAACATCAAGTCAGGGAGACAGATCTGGCTAAGTCTGTTTGCATGGAAGCCCTTTCTGACTCCCTTTGCCTGCAGGATCAGGCCCAAGCTCCTCAGCCTGGCATTCATGGTCCACAGTGTTCTGACTCTTACTCAACTCTCTGGTCTCACTCCTCACCTTCCCTCCTCCCCTTTCCCTTTATGTTCCAATAGTAATAACAATCGGAGGAGGAGGAGCAGTGATAATGATATGAATGATAATAACTAATACATGTTGAGTCAGCCATTTTCCAGGTACTCTGCTGAGCATGTTACATGCATTATTTTGTTTAATTCTCAGAGCCATACCGTGAGAGAGGTTCTATAATTATTTCTATCTTGTACGTAAGAAAATGAACCCTTTTAAAGGTTAAGAGACTTGTTCACATTCACACAGGTAGTCAGGGGTGGAGTAGAGAGTCAAACTCAGGCTGTCTGACCACTGCCCAAGTGGATTGTTGACTGCTGTCCTGGAGTTTGGGGCTTTGCAGTCCCCCCTAAATGAACCATTTGGGCATTTTGATTTATCATTACACCTTGGCACTTGCTGGGCTTTCTACCTGGACTTCCCTACTTCAACAGGCAATTTATTCCTCCTTTGAAACAGCCTAGCGGCCATCACCTCCAGGATACCCTCTCTGACTCTGCCTATTTGCCTCTTCTATTAGACCATGAACCTTCAGGCCAGAGACTCCTGTTTATATACCCACCACTGCCCAGCCTAGCAGATGCTCTGTAAACGTTTGTTGAATTGAATCATCTAGTTCCTCTTTCTTATTTCCCTCTGTGGATACCAAGTAAATACTTAGGGCCACAGCCAGGTGAATGAGGATGCTTGGCTTGACTTTTGCCTGAGGGCTAGAATAACACAGGGCCTCATTCTCCCACTGGTTTTGCAGAGATGGGAAGATAAGATTCAAGCCCTGAACTCAGGCCAGCTTGAGCCACACAACATCAAGAACAGGCTCTGCTCATTGGCCCAATGCCCCCTCACACTGTGCCCCTTACTCCTTACGGCAGGTGAGCCTCTGTAAAGAGATGGCTGGAGAAGTGCCAGCCCAGGCTTGCCTCTTACACATGCTGGGTCTTTTGTTGTTTTTTTCCCCTTTGGTCTTCAAATGTTTAGCAGGGTGACCTCCGTGGTAATTCTGAGAAACCCGAGGATGGAAAATAAACCAAAAACAACAATGACTTATTTTGAAACATTTGCATTTCCTGAAGTCCAGTGGCATAGTATATTTTAGTTTTTCTTTAAAAATCATTTAGATGGTTTCTAGCTAAAGGAAAAAACACAGGCAGCCCCTTTAAAAATGATGTTGCCGGGGCTCGTTCAGAAAGAGGCTAAGAGTGGGACACTAGAGGAGCTATTGAGGGAACAGGCTGTTGAACTTGGAGAAGACCCCAGAGGAGGGCGCAGCCTCTGTCCTTTAATGCTTGAGGAGGCTGTTGGCACACTGTGGGACCAGAGTACTAATCCTCCAGGTGGAAGCCGAAGGAGATGAAGCCCTCACCTACTGGCTAACACTGCTATAATCCCCATTTCTCAGATGCAGCAATGGAAAGACCTACACTCAAAACACCTAGTCACACTGTGAGTCATAGAACCGGCAGCTCACATAGTTGACCAGTCAGTCCTGCTCAAAAAGGTGGGCTGCTCTGGAGGTCATGAGGCTCTTATAAACAGCTAGATGAACATTTCATGGGTCATCAGCCACATGGCCTGAGTCTTCTCATCACCCTGTGAGTCTATGATATAACTTTCTTTTTTGGTTATGAAGACAGAAAAAAAAAAGTGACATAAATAGTGGCATTACATGCAGCTGAAATCCTGCAATGTCCCTGGAATTTTGAAGGTTGGGAGCAGAGGGAGAAAAGGTGATGTCTGGAGAGGTTTAGTTCGAAGAACAGAGCATTGGAGTGGGGGAAATGAAAACTGTCTGCAAGTCACAGCTGAGTTGATGACCTGAGAGTTAGAATCCCGGGATTTCTCCTCCCTGAACTCTGGTGTCCCTATTAGGATGGTGCAAAAGTAACTGTGGTTTTTGGCATCAAAAGTAATAACAAAAACCACACTTACTTCTGCACCAAGCTAATAGATGAAGATCAGTGTGGATTTGATGACCTATCCAAAAGGGCCTATCTAGCCTATTTCAGCAGGCTGTGCAGACTCAGCCATCCACTACCAGACCTGCTGGTGGTGGGGGTGGGAAGGTTTGGGACAGGGAGTCAGTCCCGGCTCCAGCTATCTCTTTGTGGGCATGTTGCATTACCTGAGGTAGGAGACTGTGTCTTCACACATTCAGGCTTTCAGACACCTGCAGTAGTGGAGCAGAACATTTTAGCTCCGAGGACAATCGACATCATGAATAGTCTGATTCTGTAAGGATCTGCAGAGTTCAGAGAAACGAAAGTTCCCTGAGATCACCTGGCTCAGGCTTGGTAGACACATAACTCATGTGCTCCTCAATGTTGCCCCTATGGCAGGCTGGTGCTAGTTCCTCCAGAGAGTTAGTGAGAGAGGCAGGCCAGAGACCAGGGCTCCATACTCCTTCTTTGGGGCAGTCTATCTTTCAGACAACTCCATGAACTTCATGAACTCCCCTGAGCACCAGAGCCTTCAGATGCGTCAGTTTTATAAAATCATCTTTCCAAGCTTTAGCCTCTTTTAGAAGGATCATGGAACTTTCTGTGGATTTGTTTGAGAGACTGAAGAGAAAGATGTGCTAACAAAACCCTCCTGGCTAGTTTCACACAGAGGAGAGAGATAGAAAGAGAGGTTGCACGAGGTGTTTGAAAGGACCATATCCTAGAAGACCTAGATTATGGCAACCTTAAGACTAGCTTTCACCTTGAGCTTTCACAATGTTGAACAGAAAGGGCCATTGATGCCATGCTAACAGAGATCCTAGTTTTAGGAGTAGGGAGACTGAACCCAGAGAGACAAGGGTCTGGCCCAAGACCCCACTGTAGGTAAGTGGTAGGGCTGGGTTCAGAACACAGGGCTTCTGACTCCTAGTACAGGGCTCTTCTCTGCCTTTCAGTCCTCCTGTGGAGAAGGAAGGGTTAAATGCAGGAAGAAGTAGGTTTGTAGCCACCACAGACACTGGAACTGAAAACTGAGGAGACAGATGGAGGTGCTGGGAAAACAAGCACGAATGAGCTTCCGGATTCCGTCTTGTGGGAGAATGCCAGCAGATGACTTCAGGTCCATGTGCTGAACACTGCCAGATTACAAGTCATGGGCACATAAAGATGCAACGTTGCTCGGGACAGCTCTACCATGGCAAAACAAACCACACAGATCGCTCCAGCCAGATGGTGTGTGGTTTGAGTGCCAGGTACCTTCCAGATGCACAGCAACTTTGATATAAGAACAAGGAAGACACAATTCATC